GGAAGAGACTGCCGCTTGCCTGCCTCCACTGGGAATGTTTTTATAAACTCCGGGGATGGCTCAGAAGGTTTAAATGATAAATGCTGAAGGACATTTTTCATTACTGCTGTCATACATCAGCTGTTCTTTTATTTCAAAGGGCTGGAGGATGAGGAGGGGGGCTGAGAAATTCTGTCTTCCAGAGACGGCACAGCTGTCACAATCACGAACTCGCAGGCCCTGCAGTTACCTGCACAAGACCTGCACAAGATCAAGACACTCAAAATTCAGGCATCAACTAGGTGGATGATCTCGAGGCTGCACAGCACACTGAGTAGCTGTTGGCAGTGGATAGCTACTGGGGAAGGGGGAATCATCCTTTGCTTTCTTTCAAGAATGCAGCCCTGGTAGGTTTCCAACACGCTGGTGGATCGCCCCACACCCATGCACATACGGGTAGCACTGACTAGACTTAGTGGTTTTCAAAAATAAAAGAGGACATCAATTTGGGATTAGGTTGGGGGGAGGGAAGGAGTCGGGAGGGGATAATGGGAGGTGAATAAGATCATATTTCACTGTATACATATATGAAATTATTGAAAATAAGAAAAAAATGTTTGCATGTACATGTATGCACCACTTACATGCCCTTGTGCCTACACAGGCCAGAAGAGGCTTGGAGTCCCTGGAACTGGAGTTACAGACAGTTGTGAGAGATCATGAGGGTGCTGGGCATCCTCTGGAAGAGCAGCCAGTGCTCATAAACACTGGGCCATCCTTCCATCCCCAGTAAGGAAACATTTTCAAAATACTTTCAAAATGAAAAGTATTCTAAAGATGCTCTTTAAAGATGTGTTCTTAGAGTAAGGGAATTTTGGCCGGAATTCCTTCCTAATTAGTAAATATTTTAAATGTAAAGCCTATTTTATCTACACAGTATACTACAATGGCTTGGAGGGGCTTCTGAATCGAGTTATTTTTCATACTCCTTCCTCTTTCGGAACTGGAAAAATACAGAAATATTTATTTATATCTCCCCACGTCTAGACTTCCACAGGCTCTGGCTATTTAGAGGCACGCTTGGTGTTTTTAACCCCTCTCACGCATTCTTTTCTTTCATCTCTGTGGCTTCTGGCCATCCTTCTCAGGGCGTCTGGCTAATCTTGCTGATATTTCTGGGGCATAGATGGACTCAGAACATGTGACTGAGAACAAAAGTCAGACAGGACCGTAGCTCTGGACCTTCCTCCTGCCTGGGAGGGGATTTTCTTTCATGGGTATGGAAATGCGCAGATGTGGGATAACCTTTGCCCAACCTGGAGCATTCCTGCTTACTCCAGGGAGTCTCTCCAGGCTGATGTTTCGTGGGCTCTCCACAGTCGATTCAAAAGTTCTGTCACCGCTATCAGAATGATCTAGGTTAGCTCAAAAAAAGGGAGAGATTCATTCCTTGGCCCCTCTTTCTGGCTCAGTGCCTCGACTCTCTATAAAACGGGAAAGACACTCTCACCACCACTCAGGGAGTGTTTTATATTTACACAGTGAAACTCGACAGTGGGGGGGAAGACAAGCCTCGCTCGAAGTCCCAACTCTTTCCCACAACCCCCTTCTTTTGTTTCTTCTGAGCACTTTCACTTAAACCACGCTACAAGAGAAAGGATATAAACTGGCTAGCACTTTCTTCCCGGGGTAATAAAAGTCAGTCAGAAGGCTTTATGACCTGACACCAGGAACACACATCTCCTTGCCCAGGTAAGTTGCTGTCCGGAAGATGAATTCAGAGCAGGGTTGTCACTCCTGGGGTCTTGGAATAGCCAGCAACAATCTGTTTTATGACTAAATCTTCCTCTGCTCTTAATTGCCTCTCTAGGAAACTCAAATTATTATCCACCACCATCTTTCTCCACTGCCTGCCCCTGTTACCATTACCACCACTTACCAGGCTACCCAGCTCCATCCAAGTCTCACAATGGTCTACCATGAAGCTTAGTCCTCCAGTGGCCACATAATAGATCTACCCCAAAGCCCAGTCCTCTGAGACCACACAACTCCCAAGAATGCTCAGACTCGGGCTGTAAGTCTTGAAGCACCAAAGCCACTCTTCAATATGGGGGACAATCGGATGCCCCCGCAGATACTCCATCACTTCTCCTCACCCAACTGTCCCCAAAATAAACTGAGGGGAACTCAATAGAGCTTGCTACCTGAAAATGAGCACCGGGAGGGAAGTCACATGACCACACAGTGATGGGGAAGTGAACTCATCAAATTAGAACCTGAAGGTGAGCAGATTCCATAAACTGTGACTCTCAAGGATATTGTCACTTAGATGAATGTCAACCTTGTATCTTTCTCTGAAGAATGGAGGCACTTTTCAAATCTTGCCTTGTGAAGCCCAACAATCTGAATCACTGTTTGCCATTGCTGTGTTAATGGGAAAGTAAAAATAGGATGAAATCCTAGCCGGGCGGTGGTGGTGCACACCCTTAATCCCAGCACTCGGGAGGCAGAGGCAGGCAGATCTCTGTGAGTTTGAGGCAGGACTGGACTGACAGCCTCCAAAACAATACAGAGAAACCCTGTCTCGTAAAACCAAAAAAAAAGGATAGAATCCTAAAGAATTGATAAACAATATTGTATTAAAAATTAGAAAATGGGCTCACTAATATTAGTGGTGCAAAAAGAACCCAAACCAAGTCCATCCTGAAGTAAGAGACTGCAGGGTGTGTGCTTCTGTCTTTGACGTTTGACTGTGTAGAAGGCTTTTCATACCACCCAAAACAGTTTAATATTCTATTTGTGAAAATATTCCCCAAATACAGTTGAGTATCTTAAGTGAATTATGAAGATGGTTTTTGCTAATTACCCTTCAAAAACAACTCTTTATCTTCCCAGACTCTTGTTCTCCAGGGGGAATTACATGTTGGGGGTCACAATGACATCCCTTGTTCTACTGAAACCTAACCCCTTCAGTGCCTGCAGGGTGGAGCGCCACAGTTTGCTCATAAATCCAGCGCTGAGAAGAAGAAATGCTTCGTCTCCAACAGACAGGGCTCACCACAGAGGGCACCAGAGAACATAGCATTTGTTTGATTAAAATGCTGCAATGATGTTACAGAAATTGCATCTAATTAGAGGGTGACAGTGCTTGAGTTACCATCCTCAAACATAATCATGGGTAGTTATTATTAAGGCTCCATACCTCACTTACTGGCAATGAGCTAACCCCAAAGCATCCTATTCCTGGCTAAGTCCTGCAAGCTACCTTATACCTAATACTATCTGTGTCTTGCTGCGACTAAGGCAGCTGTGTATGGCGTTCAAATGTGCACTCAGTCGGTGCCACAGCTTCCCTCTCGATGCTCCTGGACGGGTAGAGCACTGAGGCCTGGCACATCCAATATTGCATCTGGAACCATCACCTCCCTAACATGAGCAGCTTCTCAACATCCCTTTTATCCCGGCCAGTAAATAAAATCAGTGCATGGATCGCACTGCCTCCTAAGCAGTGTGAAACAGGTTTTCGGGTGGCTGCAACAAAAACAGAGGCCGAATCTATCACAGGATCCCACCGATCACCAAGCACGCAGCTAAGCTTCAACCTTTGTTTCCTCCTGTCCGTGTCCCCTTCCCTGTCAGGACACGAGTTGGACATCGTCACTCTCACACAAGAGGGGAGTTCAAAGGACAGCAGCACCAAGAACCCCTTAGGAGCATGCGACCTCAAGAGTGCTCGGAGAAAACTTTGGTGGCCTGAGATTTATGGGGTTACAAATGTCAGACACTGCCACCTCAGGCACGGGAGTCTCTCAGACCTGTGTCACACAGTCAAGTCTCTCTCACCCCATTCTACTCTCCACCCTTGGTAACGCTCAACGCAGAGGGGAATAAATGATGGACTGTGTGTCCACCAGAAGACAAGGATGGCCTCGACATGGACCTGCTGTCATCAGGGCTGTCCTTAGAACTGGGAGGGAAACCACGGAATATTGATGGAAAAACAGCAAGTAAGTCTGTGGATGGGGAAAGCTGTTAAGTCGGAGCAGTGCGAGGCTGAGAACAACTCCTCGTCCTGGGATTTACTCTTGGGGTGTCCTGGAAGATTAATGGTGGAACTACAAAAATGCCAAAATGACAATAACCCAGAGTTAATTATTCTTGAGGTAAGTTCCAGATTTATAAAACGAATTCTCCTGGTGGTGATTTTTTTCACATTTTAAATTTTACAGCGGTCTATGGGTGTCTATGTAATTGAACCCGGGTGTAGAAAACGTGAGTGTGTGTGTGTGTGTGTGTGTGTGTGTGTGTGTGTGTGTGTGTGTGTAAGCAGATACGGCAAGCAGATGCCGTTACTCCTAAGCTCTGCTATTCAAAAATCACAATATTTCATTGCAAAAGTCACAGGGGAAAAAAAAGAAACAGAAAATGCCATTGAGGAGTGTTGGCAGCTTTCACAGCAATCCACTGTTTTCTTGATGTTTCTCTCTAACCACTGATAAAAACTCTTTGAAGTGGGAGAGTAAATATTGTCATGTGATAGTACTTGGACCCAACTGTGCAAATACAACTGCATTGTGTTCCGCTCTGGGGGCTCTGGGCTGGTCACATCACACAGACAGGGTTGCTATGGAGGAACCAATGAGCTTATTACATAAACCCAGGAGCTGGTCAGGATACATCTTGGCTCTTACAGCGAGCCACCTCTTAATCCTCCTCACGTAGACACATGGAGTTTTAAGGGAGAAATTCTGGCTTGGGAAAATGTGTTTCTGTGGTGCTTGGACGGTAGGATCATCACAACCACGCCAAGGGAACCCTCACTCCCAGCAGCTGATGCCCCTTTCGGCATGCCGGGGCAGGATCGCAGAGCCGGGTAGGGAGAACAGTAGGGCATCCCCGATGGGGACATCCCCCTGCGCCGCCAGGCCGGGTGCTGAGCTAGAAGCCTTACACCGGGGCACCCCGAGGCAGCATCCGGGGGTGGGGTGCAGCTCCCAGCAAAGCACCCCTCAGTGGCTCACCTTGCCCGGGAGGGGTCCCGGCAGCAGCAGCTTGAGAGCTTGCCTCTTCAGCTCCACCAAGCGGGCGTTGCAGTTCTCGCACCAGACGCCGCGGTCCGAGCCGGGGGAGGAGCCGCCGCCGCTCCCCGAGCCCGGGGATCCAGTGCCGAAGCCCGGCGAGCCGCCCAGGGATCCCGGAGAACTGGTACCGATGCCCGGAGACGCGGGGCCAGGGGAACCAGTGAAGGAGCTCGGGGATGAGGTGCCCGAGCCCGGGGACGGGGTACCGGACGAGCCGAGCGCAGAACCCGCGCCCTCGGGGGTGGGCCGGCCCCCTGTGCGAGACTCCTCGTATGCCTTGCGGTACCAGCTCTCGGGCGAGAAGGGCGCAGCGGGCTTGGTGGGCGAGCACGCTTCGTTTACCTGTAGGAGAGACACAGCGTCAGGCCCTGCGGGGTCACGGATCCCCGAGCTGCAGAGCCTGGAGGGCTGGGGCAGCTGTCCTGCTGACACTGCTGCGAGCCTACCTGGCCTAGAACTCCATCCCTCAAGTGACCTGTCCTTAAGCGAGTCGTGTCCCACCCACCGCGCGCAGGTCCCCTCCATTCCTCCTGGAAGGACTTGGGAGGTTTGGTTGTCCTTCGGCTTCTGAGAGAACACCCAGACATCCAAAGCCCAGCTCTTTCAAACCCGGTACCCACCCCCAGCAAGAGCCTAGATACACAGTCCTGGAACACCATATCCAAGGGTTGGGTGACTGTGACTTCTGGGTGTTTACTCATTCGGGGCATAGCCCTCCGAGTCCCGTAGGTAAATGAAAGGGGCTCCCTGCTCCCGGGCAGCGAGCCCAGGGAACCGCAGAGGAATTCTGGGGAAATGCTCCCCTTCGGTTTAACTCTGCCTTCAAGTCCCGGAATGCTGCGAAAGTTAAGGGTGCGGGAAAGGGGAGGAACGGAGGACCGAAGACATTCCCGGAGCCAGGCGAGCTGCAGACCCGCCTCCATGCATGCACAGCTCCGCCGGTGGAGCCGCCGGTGCACCCGAGAGCTGGGGATCCTGCGCCCGGCCCGATGGGTCCCTGGGAACGCATCTCCACACAGACGCCGCCACAACTTACCCCGTATTTCTTGCCCCTGGTGGAGACCGCAAGCCTCTCTTTATTTCCAGCTACCGAATTCATGGTGGCTCTTCCAGAGAAAAGGGTCTAAATGTTCGCACAAGGCTACATCCAAAAGGTCTGCCAACCCAGAAGGCGTCCCCCCTCCTGGTAGGGGTTGGTCCTCGAGTCAAGATTTCTTAATGGGTAGCTGGGAAGAAGAAAAGCAAATGGAGCCCAGAAGTGATAGCACCAATTTGCAGGAAGGGTTGGAGCGGCTGGTGGTTCTCAAATAATGGGGTTCCTCATCTCTCTGCCTCCTCTAGCCACGCGTCCTCTCTTCAGCGCTACATCCAGATCGCTGGCATTTTCCTCCGCCGGCCAGCGCGTTCTCCTCCAGCCGGGCCGAGGGGGAGGAGGACGGCGAGGACGCAGGGCGGCTGCAGGGAAGGTGGGCGAGCCCTCGCCGAGCCGAGCCGGCGGTGGGAACTTGCCTCCTTCCCCGAGCTCGCTAACTGAGTTCAAAGAAATTCTCCCAAAATATAAGGATCCAGACTCGGGGAGGAGCCTCGGCGTGTCGCCGAGCCAATATGCGCCGGCCCGTTTTTCTCCTGACAGTTGCGCGCAGGGCAGGGAGAGGGCGGCTGTGCGCGGCCGGCGAGCAGCCCGCGGTCAGGACGCGCGTGTGCGCCCGGGCGCAGCGCGGAGCCTAGGGGACCGCGACCCCGCCGCCTCGGAGCCCGCCCGGCCGCCGCCGCCGCCGCCTCACCCGCCGCGATCCATTTACGGCGCGGCGCTCGGGCCTGGCATCGCCAGGCGCAGCCGGGGCGGGGGTGGGGTCGTAAATCTGGCTCCGGGCGGGGAAGTTGCTGGCGAGGGGCCCGCGGTCGGGGGGCTCCGGGGCTACCCGCGTGCGAGCCTGCAGCTCCGACCCGGCGGAGCTGCGCGGAAACGCGGCGCCCGGGCCTCCCCGCCCCCCGGGAGCTGGTGTCTTCCAGCAAGGCGTGCAGGTCTGCCTGTGAAACGCCTTGCAAACCGATTGAGTCACAAACAAGTCCGCAAACAGGCCGGGGCCAACCCCCCGCCCTTTGTTCTCCCAGACCTGCCTGGCAAACCTTTCCTCGAATCGCCCTCTCAGTCCCAGCCGGCCAGGGGGGTCTTCCTCCCCCGGACCCCCATCCTGAGCACCGGGAGCCTTCAGCCCCCGCCCGCCCTCCGGCCCAAGCCCCTGTTAGTGATGGGGAAACCTCCCGAGACCCTCACAGGTGAGTCAGGGACCCAGCGCGCAGCTGCCGGGCTGGGGAAACTGAGGGATTGGCCGCGCTGCACACGCGCGGGAGGACTGCGCGGGCCGGGAGAGGGGGGTGTGGCGCGAGCTGCCCCGGCTTCCGGGCCAGGATCAGTCCCCTCGCCCCCCTTGCGCGTTTGCCTGCGAGCATCGGGACCGGGGCGATCTCCAGAGCACCCAGCTGTCGCCCTCGGTCTGACTCCCGCCCCCACCCCCCACCCCGCATAGCGCCCCGGAGCTCAGGAAGCCGGTGTACGCCGGGCTCCACACGTGGCTGCTCCGGGGTGTCATTTTTCATTTCCCGGGAGGACATTTCTTCTGGTGAGGCGGCAGGTCTATTTTGTTGTGACCTTTAATTAACACCCCGCGAGACGCCTCCTGCAGGACCAGCCGGGCGTGGAGATCACGTGTGGTGTAATGGCATCCCGGCACCCCGGAAAGACCTGGCCTTGGGCTAGGCGCCGGCAGGCGGACATTTCGGGCTTCCCTAGTTGCTGTCTTCCTTCTGACACATGCATAAGCGGGGGTGGGGGACAGACGACAACATTTGGGGTGCTGGAACCCTGGGGCAACGCCCCCCATCTTGTCTTCCTACTGGAACCTTCGGTGCCTCCCGGCTCAGCCACCCCGCCCTGCACCCTCTGCAGCCAGTGCACCCGGGATATTTCACAGCCTCCAAAGCGAGGCGAGAAGGTCAAAATGAAGATGTTGAGAACACTGTGGAAGTTTCCATTACGTTCCTACTTCCAATTTCAACGCGATCACATCTGCAGAAGACCTTAGGGGGACAGGTAGCCTCCAGGCAGCGCGTGCCGGCCGCAGCCGCATCTGTATTCTGCCTGGGTGCCGCGGAAAATAGCGTCGCCATTAGCTACGCGCGGCTTATCAGCCCCAAAGCAGCATGTGGCCAGGTGAAATGGACGAACCCGTGAAGCCCCGAGTGGGAAAGGTGGGGTGTCGGCGGGGGGGGAGAGCCATCGCCGAGCTGCGCGATTCTCCCTGAAGAATGATGAGCCCAGAGCAGATCTGATGTGCATCCCAAAGTATCTGGGGCCCACCGCGTGTTTGATGGACTCGGAGCGCCCTCTGTTGGTGAAATTTTACATCGGGCGGGCCCCCTCAAGAGAGTTGATGTAAAATCTACATACAGTGAAATGTGTAAAATTTAAGGGTAAAATTCTGTTTCTATAAACATATATATGCAATTTTTGTATAGCCCACTACACAATTAAGATGCAAATTCTTCTCAATGAAAAAAAATCCCCCCTTCCCAAGCAGTCCCCACCCCACATAACAATTAGCAATCGCTGTACGGTCTTGCCATCACCACAGATCAGTTTTGACTGATCTTGAGGTTTTTTTTGTCTACAGAATCTATAAGTCTTTTGTGTTTGGCTTAACATGGGTTTTGTGTTTCCTGTTACTGTTCGCGTGGATCTGTTTTCTATTTTACTGTCTTACATTCCTCCCTTCTGCTTCCCTTTCTTGTTAATTGAATAATGTCTTCATACTCTCTCATCCCTCGACTGGATTTCTAGCTCTAATGACTCACATATGAATCTTTGACTTAGCGCGGACTGTTCAGGCGTACCATTGCAGAATTCACTAGAATATACATTTCAGCAGGACCAATTCCATTTAACCTCTGTCCTATGAGGTAATGATTTAAATCTACACTTCATAAAATCCACAATAGAATCATTTAAATTATGTTTTAACAAATATGTCTTCTCTTGAAACTAGGAAAAATATGGGTCTTTTAATGTATTTACATGGTTTTTGCATGTCTGGATACCCCCCCCCCATTTCAACTGAATTCTTTTTTTCCAACCTGGAGAAGGGACTCCTTTAGCATTTTTTTCTTTTAAAAAAAATTTCACTTCTTGGGTTGGGAGGATTGGGGGTTCGGGGGAGGAGGAGAGGGAGAGGGAACTGAGAGTAACGTGTAAAAAGTTAAATAAAAAAGAAAATGAAATAAAATATTCACTACAGAAGTCTGAACATAGTTAACAGATCCCCTAGGATTGGAGGTGAAGATTGTGATCTGCCATGTTGGTGCTGGGAACTGAACCCAGGTCCTCTACAAAAGCAACCAGCACACCTAACTGCTGGTCCATCTGTCCAGCCCCTCCTTTAGCATTTTTTTAATTTTGGTTTTTATGAGACAGGGTTTCTCTGTATTGTTTTGGAGGCTATCGGTCAGCCCACTCGGTCTGTGAGTTCAAGGCCTCTGCCTCCCGAGTGCTGGGATTAAAGGCGTGCGCCACCACCGCCCGGCCCTTTAGCATTTCTTGTAGCAAAGGACTCTTGGCAACAAATTCTCTCTGATTCTGCTTATGTGCCTTACCTCTCTGTGTAAGGACTGGATTAGCTGGATCCAGAATGCTCTCCGTGGCAGCAGCTTTTCTTTTGGCCCTTTAGAATGTCCTGACTGGAGCTGAGTTGCCGTTGTCACGGATGGCATGTGTTCCTTTTCTCCTCCTATCTCGGAACTTTGACTAGGACACTCCTGGATGTGATCTGTGTTCCTTCTGCCCATGGCTTGCTGAATTTCTAGAACCTGAAAGTTAGTTACTTTTCTGTTGCTATGATAAACTACCACTATGAAGGCAACTTTAGAAAGAAATAGGGTCATTTTGGCTTGGGTTAGAGCACATCATCCGGGGAAGGATGGGAACAGGCAGGGAAGACAAGTGTTATGAAATTGACAAGTCACATTTCATTCACACACAGGAAGCAGAGAGAGACAGAAAATAATTTGGCTATAAGCCCCCAAAGCCCTCCCCAATGATGTCCGTCCTCCAGCAAGCTCTACCTAATGGCTCTGTAACCTTCCCAAATGACTGCGCCAGTGGGGGAATCACATATTTAAATACAGGAGCCTATGGGGGACATTTCTCATTCAACAGACCATGAAGTTGATCTCTAAAACTTTTCACCAAATTTGGGACATTATCAGCCACTACTTATTCAAACCTGTTTACTGCCCCATACTGTATCTTTCTGTCCTTCTGGGACTCCAATGATGTGTATGTTGTCATCACGCTACCTGGTGATGACACATGAGTTCCTGGTTGACTTTAGATAACTTTAGGTCACTTCCTTTCAGTTGTTCTCTATTTGGGCTCACTAGCTCTTGCTTCTGCTCTTCAGCCACTCTGGTGAACATATCCTCTGTGCATGTACCTGCATGTAAGTGTTCATGCACATGCATGTGTGTCTGCGTGTGAGAGTGCATATTCATTTAAATTTGTGTGTTTTGTTTAAATTCTCTAACATAGTATGATTCCATCTTACCCCTCCTTTGTTAGGATAGTTCTATTCCGTCGTTGCTTTGTCCTGATACTTGTTCTCCATTGCTGTGGTCCTTCTGGGGTTTCAGCAGGAAGTCCTACAAGCTTCCCACGCATCTTTAACTGGACACTGAGCTCAGCTTCCCTGTAGCAGGTAAAACCTCTGCTCCACTCATATCACCATCTGCATGTCGCTTTTTCTGAACCTCTTGGAGACCTCTGTCTCCGGGTTCAAGGATGTTATAACCCAGTTAAAGATCATAAGGAAACTTCATGCTGTCTCCAAGGCAGCCTTCCTGTGGCTGGCTCTGCTCTGAGGTTTCCCTGCTCCCTTTCCATCCACCGACATCCCTGAACACCAGCAGGCACAACCTCAAGCCCTGAAGAGTGGTTTCTTTGCAGTCTAGCCACTGAGCTCAACAGACCCTTCCTCTCGGGGCTGAGTGCCCCAGTATCTGCCTGCTGTTTGCTTCTTTGCATTTCTATCCTGTGGTCATAGAGGGGCCAGAGACACTGATTCTCACTCAAAGGTATCAATACAATAGATTGATTACTGTTCATAGAAAATTTGAGCTGTTACAAGCCAATATATGATCTCGAGAAGCTTTGAATTAGTTCCTAGTGTTCTTGTCCATTTTATCAACATTTTCATTGGAAAGTTCGATTTTGTATGTAAGATACTTGCTCCCTAAGTCTACTACCAAGGGCTTCTTCCGAGTATCTCACACCTCCAGAAATCCTCCCTCAAGAACCAACCCCACCCCATGCTGGGGTGGAACGCACACCTGGCAAGTGCTCTACCACTAAGTCACACACCAGCTGCGGCTGTTACAGAGCTTCAAGGGGATTTCTGTGATGTGCAGCCTGTGGATACTAGCTATATTTTATTTTCTATTAAACTGAAGAATCCCAATGTCACAAACCTTTGCAAAGGAAGATAGGTGAAGTCGATGGAATGAATGTTTCTCGTTTCTTCACAATCAAGGATGTTGGTAGTATTTCTTCAGGATTTAGCTGTTTTTTAAATATCCCTATTTTAGGAATGAAAAGAAATCATATATTGGCCTGTAACCGCCACAAACTTCTAGAAATAGTAATTAATTGATTCCAATGATAGCTTTGGGTGAGAAGCAGTGTCTGGTCCTCTGTGACCACAAGATACAAATGCGAGAGTTCAAGTCTACTATCTGAGTAAGAAGGAAGTTGGTAATCTACCTTCCTTGTTGTCTAATTACTACATGCACATAACTTCTTTGGGAGTGCTTCATGGGCCTGTATAGCTCAGAACATCCAATTTAGCGACTCCTTTGTTTATATCTCAAAGAGGAATGGCTCATAAAATTTACAGCCAAAATATATGATGCCATTGTGCTTTTGAGAGCCTAAATGTATAAAAAGTCAGAAATAAAAACCTCAAATCAGTCCCTGCAACTCCCAGTTGCTACACAGAACACTAAGTATAACAGATTCCACTCCTTTTTAATATCTTCCCTTTGAACTAATTTCCACATCAGTCCGGGCAGCAGCATGCCAGAGGAGCCGGCAGAGTGCGTGTGCCAGAGGCGGCGGGGTTTCTCCTTGAAAGATAATTAAAGCAGCTTACACTGTCCATGTGGCATCTTGATGAATATGCAGACAATATTTGCATATGATCGACTGCTGTTCTGAGACCATATGATCATGTGTGGACTGCCAAGCTGATTTTAACTTGCCTGTTTGGTCATTACTATGGTGGAAGAGGAGGGTCACTATCCTGTGTGCCTAAGAAGGTTTTCCACTCTTAGAATAGTGTTTCAGTAGTTAACTACTTTATACTTAGAAATTCCTTTTGTGCTAAATTCCAAATCTCCCCCGCTTTCTGGTGCTGGGGATGGAACCTAGGTTTGCCTGAGCTAAGCAAGTATCCTACCCCTGAGGGATACTCCCAGCCCAATTCCAAGCCTTGACTTCAACCCCAAATTCCCAGATTCAGAAGAGAAATGTGGCTAGAGCAGTCCTTCCCATTGTCTGACAAAAGCTGTCTTGTAAAAGAGTAGAGAGGTAGGAAAGTGAGGGCTCAGCCTGCCAACCTCAGGTGCTGGGATCTGACAACCTTGGGCTGTGCCACCAAGGAGCACGGCTTTGAAAAAGCATCACAGGTCCCATGTGTCACTGTTTACAGTAATGAAGAAGAAAGAGGCCAGCTTGAAGTCACTATGGGGCATGCCTGTAATGCCTGCGCTTGGAAGGTGAAGACAGGAGGACCTCAAGTCCAGGGTCACCCTTGGCTACATAGTGAGCATGAGGTCATGTTAGAAAGAAGCAGAAGTAAGAGAGGGGGATGGAGGGAGGGAGGGAAGGAGGGAGCGGGAGGGAGGGGAAGGAAGGGGGAGGGAGGGGGAGGGGGGAAAGAAAGGAGGGAGGGAGGGAGGGAAGGAGGGAGGGGAGGGGGAGGGAGGGAGAGGCAAAGTAAAGAAACAGAAAAGTTGCAGAAGTTCAAGATACTGGGCGGCTAACAGACCAGAACACCCTCCTCTACAACAGTCCTGGAAACAGTCTCCTTTAAGGTATGGGACATCAGAGGAAATTACATTCTCAGTGGAAGAGCCATGAAGCTGATGGGGATGGTGGCATTGTAAAGGGAGAAGCTGGGCCTTGTAGACGTGGGGATTAAGAAATCCACGGGAAGACTTCAGATAAAAAGCCAACACGCAGAAGGGAAGAAAAGGGAGGCCCCAGTTGAGCCGTTGGGGGTTCAGAAGTTTAACTTCAGGCAGTGGAAAACTGAGTCTATGCTGAGGACACAGTGTTCCTTCAAGCTGGTCTGGGGTGGGAATTAGTAGGGAATGAAAGCTGGAGGGAGGGAAGGGGCCACAATTCAGTGACTAGAAAACAGCTTAACCCAAAGATGGTCTCCTAAGCATGTAGAGTGACACTCAGCGTTGCTGCCACGCAGGAAATGAGAAACCGAAGCCACACTGAGGTAGTCCTCACATTAGAGCAAACATCATCCAAGAGACAGTCAGTGGCTGCATGGGTGACAGTGTGGACAGATGGGAGCACTCATACAGTTCAAAGGGAATTAAATGGTTCAGCCAGTTTGGCAGTTTGTAAAGAAGTTAGACTCAAATTTATTATATGTCCATCAGCTCCACTGAGTGTCCACTCCAGTACAAATGAAAAAAGGGTTGGTCTTCAGGTATTTGCCCACAAAAGTTCTGGGCAGCATTGTTCATGAGTCGTCAAAGATGGAAACAACTGCTGTATCCTCGCCTGATAAACAGATGGACGGAACGTGACATAGCCATACAATGGAATATTAATTTGGCAATGAAAATGAATGAAGTATCATATATGCTGTGACACTGGTGAACTGCAAAGTCGTTGGTCCTGTGAATGGAAGCACAGAGAAGCGACTGTGTTTTATATGGACTCCATACGATGTTCAGAGAGAGAACTTACAAAGACAGAAGTAGCATAGTGTTGCTTGGGACTTGGGATGGGAACAGAGACTGACTATAAAATAGGCATGAAATGTCTTACAGGGATGATGGAGAGGTTCCAGAATCTATTTATCAAGATGGCAGCATCCCTCTGTACATTTACCAGAGAAACTGTGGCAGTGAGCACATGGATGAGAGTGTTAGACAAGCCAAAGAAAGCTGTTCTGTTGTTGTCCTTGTTGTTGTGGTTGTTGTTGGTGGTGGTGGTGTTGGTGGTGGTGGTGGTGGTGTATTGTTTTTAATGAGATGGCAGAGGGAAAGAAAAAATAGGAAGGGACAAATTAAGAGCTATCTGCATTGCATCGTATGAAAGAGATGAATGGAGGGGCCTAGAGGAGTCAGGATGATTCCCAGATATTTAAAGTAAGAGAGATGAAAACAGCAGAGAAAGGGATGGTATGTTTCACTTAGCAAAGTTTATACTCCAGTTGCTCGTTGCTAAAGCAAGTGTCAGAGCTGACCTGTGTAGCCAGGACCTTCAGAGCGTCCAGCCCCAGTCCCATGATGCTGTCATCATGGGGGTCTTGGGGAGCCTGAACCCCAATTCTGGGAAGGGTGTCAAGACACTGGCTGACTTGTTAAAAATAGAAGAGTCCTTTAAGAAAAACTGAGAATATGTGATTAATTAAAAGTTGTGATTTTTATAAGGAATTGAAGAGTACATTGTGGTCAGGAGGCAGGGGTGGGGGATAGCTGTTTCCAGCTTAGCCACATGAGTCTCAGCAGATGCAAGAGCAGGAGACCAGGCTGTGGAGATGAGAACCAGGAGAGACAGCCATTGGGTGCTGGACAGAGAGGCACGTGCAAGCAGGCAGGAGATAGCTCCCAAGGTCATGAGAAAGGAAGACATGCAAACAGGCAGTGGACAGTCTCCAGGGCCATGAGGAAGAGGAGGGAGCCACCTGAGAACCTGCTAGGGACCTAGAGGACATGTGGGGAGTATTGGATCCCAGGAATTGCTCCAAGTAAGGCTCCAAACTAACGCCAATATTTCTAAATAGTGTTGTTGCTCACACCCTCTATTGTGTGCTGCCTGAGCCAGGAACTAGCAGAAGGGGCGTGTGGTGCCCATCACTACAGCTAATGCACCCATTGTCATGTGCCACTTATCTCAGAGTCACATAGATCTGCTGCCACATCTCAATCTGCCATGGCATGTCCACCACCACCAAGCCCTCTCTATTCAAACTCTGCACTGCAAAATCAACAGTCCTGATAACCTGTGGATTAAAACTGTGTGTAGGGATGGGTGGGTGAGTGTGTGGATGGATGGATGGATGGATGGATGGATGGATGGATGGATGGATGGATGGATGGGTGGGTGGATGGGTGGGGAAAGGGAGGGAAGAAGGGACAGATGGATAGAATGAGTCAGTGATTGCTGTATGCATGCATGGATGAATGAGAGACACCCAGTTGGAAAAAAGAAGAGAGAATAGCTGAATGTTCCTGGGTGGGGGAACACTGGCAATTCTTACACGTTTCTTCCTTTTCACACTTAGGCATTTGGACTGTTTGTGTGCATGTGTGTGAGGGTGTTTGTGAGTGTATGTATTGTGTGTTTTGTGTGCATGCATGCACAAAACAATATGTCCCATCACATAGTTTCTCTGAGAATGCCAAGGTACATCAATTTCTAATCCTTTTTTATTACTTTTCCAACATTAAAAAGTTCAGCTGGGCGGTGGTGAAAAACACACCTTTAATCCCAGCACTTGAGAGGCAGAGGCAGGTGGATCTCTGTGGGTTCAAGGCCAGCCTGGTCTACAGAACAAGTTCCAGGACCGGCTCCAAAGCTACACAGAGAAAACAAATAAACAAAAAACTTCAAAGGAAGCCAAGCATAGTGGGTTCTGCCTTTAATCCTAGCACTTGGGAGGCAGATAAATCTCTTCAAACTCAAGACCAGCCTGGTCTACGTAGCCAGCTCCAGGCCATCCAAGATTAGACAGATTAATTAGATTCTGTCTCAAGAAGAAAAATCACAGGATTTAAATGTAAAATTTCATTTTAAAACAATAGCATAGGTAAGTGTCAGGAAATTCAGGAATTACAGTTTCTACAGCAACATCATATGGCCAATGAACTACTATTAAATAAATGAAATTAAGCACTTACCTTACTCTTGACATTCAGCCATATGCTAAACAGTCATTTTATTGGTTTCTAGTTCCTTGCAGCCACCTGTGAGGGAGGAAATATTCTCATTCCCACACTGAGGACGAAGAAACCTAGTCCCAGGAGAACCATGGACCTGCCATGTGCTTGCCAGGCAACCAAATCTCCAGGAAACCACAGGCAGCAGGGTGAGATGTCACAGAGGCATTGCTAAATGCCTCCCGGGTCCTGCCACTGAGCTCAAGAACGGCTGAAGAGGGCCTGGGAGGAAATCCCCATGGCCCCCACTAAGTGTGTGTTCTCCCGTGGCCAAGCTCACTGCCTGCACAGAACAGTGAACATACACTGAGAAGAGACGGAATAGAAGAAGAGAAGGACGCAGAGAGGCAGAGGAGGAGGGAAGACGAGGATGCCGGTGGAGAAGGGGAGCAGAGGACAGTACCCCCCCCCCGTGTTCAGAAGAAGGAGTAATAAATGCCAGGGCAGTGCAGCAGAAGGACCAAGCCTGGTGACCTGGGTCCCTTAGTCTCACTCCCGGGCAGCTATGAGACTTCACTGGAAGCTATCAAGACTCATCTAGAGATGAATGCAGGTGCATGGGCTCAAAGCATAGTCAGGGCATCTAAAGCCACAGTTCTAACACGGGCCTACGGCAGAATGAAGCCAGAAGCCAGCACCGGCTCTGAGCGTAGCTGGCACTTTTGTCTTCTCCTTGTTTTTCTTTTTCTTTCTGTGATGGGGGAGGGGTCCCTCATTGTGTTGAAAGCCTTGGCTCAAGCAATCCTCTTGCCTCAGCCTCCTAAGCAGCTGGGATCATTGGTGTGCACCTAGTTCTAGTTGTTGTCTTTCTAAATCATCTTTAAGAAGAAATAAACACAGTGGAGGAGGAGCAGAGAGGCGTGACCACCACCCCCTCAATGTGATGACCAAGGTGAGAGGCGTGACCGCCACCCCCTCAGGGTGAAGATGACCAAGGTGAGAGGCGTGACCACCACCCCCTCAGTGTGACTCCAAGTGTGCAAACAAAGAATGCCAAAGGATGAGAGAGCCACCCGCAGGAAGGGGCCAGAGTGCCACGCTTCCCACATCAAAGAGCTGGCTTTGAACTCTCCACCTTCGAGTAGACATTTGGAGAGTGAGTCTCCCAAAAGAGAAACAAGAAATAATAGGGTTGGACCACCGACATGGCTCAGTAGGTAAAGGCACTCTGTCACCAAGCGTGACACCCCGTGTTTGATCCCAAGGCCCATAAGGTAAGACAGAACCGCTCCTACACGTGGTCCCCTGACCTCCACACAAGTACGGAGGCATGAGTGCTACGTGACTGCCATGTCCCCACCCCTACTCTCCTGGGTGGCTAACATAGCTGTTTCACTTAGCTATTACTAAACACAGAAAGTTTAATAATGCACCCAGTGTCACAAAGAACAAGGTATTCTATGGTGATTAGTGTTAACTGTCAAGCTGACAGAATTTAGAAGCACCTGGGAGAAGGGTCTCCAGGGAGAGATTTCCCTGGAGATTGTCTTGAGTGTATTAGTTGTAAAGTGAGAAGACCTGCCCACTGTGGGCAGCAGCAGTCCGTAGCCAGAGTCCTGGGCGCTGGGCATGCACTGGCTCTCTTCTTCCTGTCTGTGGCTGTAATGTGGCCAGCTGCTTCTAGCTCCCACTGGCTTTACCTCCCTGGTGATGGGAGGCATCTTGAGCTGTGAGTCGAAATAAACCCTTCCTTCTGGCCAGGGTATTTTTTTTTTGAGACAGGGTTTCTCTGTATTGTTTTGGAGGCTGTCCTGGAACTCGCTCAGTAGACCAGGCTTGGTCTCGAACTCACAGAGATCTGCCTGCCTCTGCCTCCCGAGTGCTGGGATTAAAGGCGTGCACCACCAATGCCCAGCTGGCCAGGGTAGTTTTATCACAGCAACAGGAACATAACTAAGACAGACTCAAATTCCGGATCACAAAAAAAAAAAAAAACACTTCTCTCTGCCTGCCTACCTTTTTGCTGCAAAGACCCCAGGTAGACTTTACTATAGTCACTCCAGGGAAGTGCAATCATGAAGTATCTGTCATTCTGTGACGGGTGTATTACACATAACATACTGTCTTCCTGGTTCAACCGTGTTAGCTGTTCGTTTTCAGATAGAATTTGTGGGACTAGGTGAGGAATGAGAGACCAAGAGAAGTAAGGAAGTGAGGATTTCCCCCCAAATCCAGGGCCTGAGCCAGATGGCTGACTGTCCTGTGGAAAGTTGAGTTAGTGTATCAGTCCGTGCGATGTACTGCTTCCAGTATGTTCTTCCCCGCCCTCTGACACCCCCGCAGCTTCCCAGCTCCTACTGGGCCTCACTGAGACTCAGGTGAAACACTTATGTCGCTACTGCCCAAAGGGAAAGGGATTTGGGTACGCACCCTCCCTCCCTCCTCCAGAGGAAGGGAAACAGGAAACAGCAAGGGGGGAAGCTATGGAGAGCACATGAGTGGTCCAGCACACTCTGGCACGCTCCCTGGATTCCAGAAGCATCATGGCGCTGCTGATACCTGAGGCTTCGCCGATTTCTGGATCCAGACTGTGAGAAGGAAGGCCTTTTACTCTTAAGGCATCAAATTCTTGGGCATCTCTTCTGGAAGCTGTGGGATGCGGACACCACGGCCCATTACATCACCTTGGCCAGCTCCTCCTCTCCACACCTATTGTGCCCTGCCTCCTCCTCTGTCACTTCAGTGTGGGTTACTGTTTGGCCCTTTCCTCCCCCATCTCTGGTGGTCTCCCTTTCAGGTCTCCTATCCGGTCCCTCTTCATCTCGCCGGGAACATCTGCACTCCGTGCCACCATCACCCTGGGGCCTCCATTATGAAAGCTGGACTTCTGCTTTGTCCTGCACAGCGTGACAGCCAGAACTGCTCATCGAGAGTAAAAGCCAGAAAAAAATAAACAAACAGCTCCGCACCCTGTCATTGGAGTCACAGACACTTGTAACCTGTCCCCCCCACACACATCTTCATTCTCACCCAGGCCATCAGCTCCTGATGCCCAGTAATTTCAGTCACTTTCTACCCGCGTTTCTGTTCGTCTCCAAGAATTCTCATTTTTCTAATGCAGTAAGGTCACTTGGTGTTTCTGAGCCTGGGTAGTGCAGAGGACCTCGTGCTTGGAGACGGCAGGGTGGTGGGGTGCACTATGGCAGCTCATTTACTCCCCAATCCCAGCAGCAGGGAGTGTGTGGAAGAAACAGCCCGGAAGAAAGGGATCTAATTACTTCCTCCCCCACAGCCTGGGTCGTTCCTAGTCTTCCCAGGGCACAGCTCCTGTCACTGAGCCAGTAAAGAGCCCAGTGAGTACGAATAAGATGCCTAAGATGCCGTAGGCTCAGGCAGGATATGTACAAGTTCAAGGACAGCCTGGGCATCCTAGTGACACCCTGTCTCAAAATTAAATGCAATAAGAGGTCGGGGGAGGAATGTAGCTCAGTAACAAAATGCTTGCCTACCAAGTGTAAGGCCGGTGATCTATTCCCAACACGACAAACAGCAGCAACAGAAGCCTGAGGCAACAGCCCTAGAGCAGGGGTCCTTGTACCACGACCAACAACATGTTTGTCAGCCCCTGGACACCACACAGGGCTCCGCAACACTGTGCAAACTACCCCCCACTGCACTGTGTAAACTACCCTCCATTGCCCTGTGTACCCGTGCACCCCCCCCCACTGCGGTGTGTACCCGTGCACCCCACCCCCACTGCGGTGTGTACCCTGCACCCCCACTGCCCTGTGAGCCCGTGCACCCCCACTGCGGTGTGTACCCTGCACCCCCACTGCCCTGTGAGCCCGTGCACCCCCCCACTGTCCTGTGCGCCCGTGCACCCCCCCTACTGCGGTGTGTACCCGTGCACCCCACCCCCACTGCGGTGTGTACCCGTGCACCCCCCCACTGCGGTGTGTACCCGTGCACATAAGTCCATTCAGTGTCCTTTAAATTTTCGTTACAAAGGAATTACATATATGATAGTTTAAAAATCAAATAATAGCAAAGGCTCATTTCTGAAATCCCCTGTCCTGGCTGTGGCCCTTTGCCCAGCCTCTCCTCTGGGCGACTGTTGGCGCTTCGGGAGATTCTTTTCTGAGCTGGATGTGCTTAGCCAGCAGTTTTGTGATTTACCGTCTGAGAACCGGCCCTTTACTCTGCGTGATGAAGCATGAAGGCTTAGCATTTATTTGTCACACTCCTTACTCCCTCCTCACGGCAATGACATTTATAAAAATAAGAATGGGCTCACGTTTACTGGGCTGAAGGTAGGGCCAGCATTGGGTACCAGATGATGTAGTCTTGACGTGGTCATCCTTCCATCCCTGACTCTTGTTCCTCACTGGACTCCCAGGACCCCTCTTCTAGCTTCTCCTGGCCGCCCCAACACTCTTTCTTTGCAACCTTTATTACTGCCTGCCCCTCTTCCTGCCTGTGATAGGAAGGATGCTGGGGCGTGGCTTGTCAGCCACTTTTCCATCCATCCTCCACTTCTCCGTGGCTCTATCTATGTCATGGTTTCAAGTATCTGTTGATGTCCTCCAGGTTCCTATCTCCAACTCTGAGTCCCCCCCATACCATGTCCAACTTTCTGCTTGATATCTGTGCCTTGGTGCTAAATAGACATCTTTAACTTACCACATCTGCCACCAAGCTCCTGCTGTTCAACCTTGAAAGCTATCCCTGCAGTCTTTGCGACCCCGCCCACGGTGCTTCTGTCTTTCCGATTATGGTTCCAGTGTCAGGGGTCATCTCTGGCTCCTTGTTCTTTCCTTCACCACATCCAGCCCATAAAGAAACCCACTGGCTCTACCTCAGACCCCTCCCTCCATGTGAGCACTTCCCAGCACCATGGCATCTGTAGGTGGCTCCCTACGTTCCGTCTCTCTTCTCAGGCAGTCCAGGCCCATCCAGAGGCCAGCCGAACTGAAATAGAAATCAGATCACTCTTTCTCATCATGTTGGTTTCCCAGGCTAGCCTCCCACTCCTGTGTTCACATGAGCACTCTGCCTCAGCCTTTCCAAGCAGCTAAGACTCTAGTGTGTTGCAGCATGCATTTTCCTCTTTATCTGACTCCGGATTTTTATTATTGAGACCAGTTAAGAACTTCTTTTTACATCGCGTATTTCCCCTCATTTTCAGACTCTACATCTAAAAGGACGTGAAAGTAAAAGGGTAACTTTTTTAAAAAGAAGGGTATCAACAGCAGAAGAGGGAAGACAGTTTGGTAAAGGGGGCTGAATGACCAAAGAACATTACGTACCTGTGAAAATGTCATAATAAACCCATCGGCTTATACAACTAGTACACCTTAATTTAAAAATATATTATAATATGGTTGAGGAGGTGGCTCAGTCTAATGTACTTGCCAGGAAAACTAGGGCACAAGTTGGATCCGCAAAACCCACATTTAAAAAAAAGCCAGATGTGGTTGCACACACTTAGATCCCAGTGCTGGGAAGGAGAGTTGGGCAGATTCCTTGGGCTTGGTGACCCTCTAGCCAAGCCTCTTCAGTGAGCTCCAGTGAGAGACCCTGTCTCAAAAAACAAGGTAAAGAGGCTGGGGAAATAGCTCAATAGTTAAGAACACCTACTGTTCTTCCAGAGGGCCTGAGTTCGGTTCCCAGCACCCATGGCCAGTTCACAACCTCCTGTCACTCCTACTCTGGGGATCTGGATCCTTCTTCTGGCCTGTGAGTGTGCCACCCACAGACATACAGGAAGAACACAATGTGGACAACTTTTTCCGACCAAAGTGCAGCAAATTCCACATATTTAAGATGCTGCCACTAACAGGTGGGTCTCGACGACTTGAAACTGGAGCTATCACAACATGGATGAAGCCTGACAACATCATCCTAAGTGAGAGAATCCAGACACAAAGGCCACACATTCTGTGATTCCATTTATCGGAAATGTCCAGAGCAGGCAAACCCATAGAGAGACAGCAGACAGGTCCAGGGTTGGGGGCGGGCTAGGGGTGGAGCAGTTTTGAGCTTCTCTATGGAAAGATGGAAATAGTAAATAGGTATATGGGAGTGACAGCTCCCCAACTTCAAATATACTAAAAACCACAGCTTGAAAGGCTGAATCTTAGAACATGGGGAGCATTTTAATGGGTCAGTATTAAAAGTTTAATTGTATACTGTCATGTGTTGCTGAGTCATTCACTCGTAACCCTGCCCTTCAGTTAAGATTGGCCACATCTGTGGCCTCACCTTCTGTAGGCAGATGTTTCTTTCCCAGTCCTAACATCAGTCCCAAATAACAGACTCAGAGGCTAAATATGAATTACAAATGCTTGACCAGGCTTGCTACTGGCTAACTCTTACACTTAAATTAACCCATAATTCTTATCTATATTTAACCACTAGGTTTGGTACCTTTTTTCAGTACAGCAGTCTCATCTTGCTTCTCTGGTTTGCCGGCAACTCTCTGACTCTGCCTTTCCTCTTCCCAGAATTCTCCTAGTCTGACTCTCTTGCTCACTCCTCCCTGCCCAGCTATTGGCCAATCAGCTCTTTACTGGCCAATGAAAGTAAAACATCGTCATAGTGTACAAAGATCATTCCACAGCAAACCTTCAGGTACTTTGAAGCAAATTAAGTACAAAGAATGGCATTGCTTGTTTGGGCAAATATGAAGAGATCAGTCAGACATGGCAAGGTGCAAAGAAGAGTCGAGAATGAAGAAAGTTGACAGTCATAGTGGTGCACACCTTTAATCCCAGTACCAGGGAAGCTGAGGCAGGCAGACCTCTGTGAGTGTGAGCCCAGCACAATCTACAAAGCAAGTTCCAGGCCAGCCAGAGCTGCATAATGAGATGCTGTCTCAAACAAACAAAAACAAAAAGGATAACTTCAGACTTGGGAATCCTCCAACCTCTGCCTCACCAGTTCTAGGATTACAGGTGTGTGTAATTATGCCTAGCTAAACAATATGTGTGCATGTGTGCAAGCATGCATGCGTGTGTGTGTGTGTGTGTGTGTGTGTGTGTGTGTGTGTGTGTGTGTGTTGGGAGGGGTGATACTCAGAATAAAATCCAAGGCTCTTGTATGCTAGGCAAGTGCTCTTCCACTAAGGTACACCCCCAGCCATGCTGATAATATGAGGGAAGAATGTGACCAACTCAAAGTAACAGAAGCAAGAGCTGGATAATGATGACCTATGACCCTATCCCAGACTGCTGCAACTGAGGGCAAGCTCCCTCTTACTTACGGTTACAAAGATTACACTTGTAGCTCATAAAATCTAAAAGTACAAAGACTGCAAAACACAGCTGTTTCTCTATTGTATTACTTATTAGAACTTCATAAAAAAGATACATGAGCCTTCCTGAAAATATGCTAAAAGTATGTCTTAGCTGATAGAATATGCAGTTTTCAAAACTAAAGAAAAGTGTAAGGGCTGGAGAGATGGCTCTATGGTTGACAGCACTTGATGCTCTTCCAAGGGACATGGGTTTGCTTCAGGTGGCTTCTTGGGATCCAACCCTTTTCTGGCACTGAATGCCGGTGGTATACACATAAACAACACACATACACATAAAATAAATAAATCTTTAACAAAAATGTAATTAATAAGATTAGTTCTGAATTATATCTGCTCTAAAATTTTTGGAAGGAAGGAAGGAAAGAAGGAAGGGAGGATGGAGCTCCCTAATTTGTTATTGCTTTCTGGAAAAGGATTCTGGGGCCAGCTAACCTCAAAGGTCACACAATTTGTACTTGTTATCATTATTACAATCAGCAGAAGCAAGATATTGTTTTACTGAACTATGACTATGCCTTGGTAAAAGGTTCACACTTTTTCCTTCTGATCATTAATCATAAATACTTATTATAATAAATTTTAAAGCTACCCATGATTTTTTTGTTGCCAGTCATTCTTACAATCTAGAATTCTTGAGCCCAGTAATAGCCATAAGCAT